TCAACTAGTCTTGCAATTACCAAGTTGTCACCAATCTTGACACTTTCAGATCTTACTTCTGTAACTATCATTTGGAAATCTTCTGCTTGCTCCATAACAAATTTTTCATCCACCATTTGGAAGCGAAAAAAATGGCTAGCTGCATACTTTTTTGCTCCTGCCTCTTCAGTATCATACATAGTCTGTAAAGCTTTCCAAATTTTCTTTACGGAAGTGTAAGTGGTGTCATAGTAATCATAAAATTGATCAGCAAGACAATTTAAGACATAAAAATGACATTTATGCTCATCTGTATTGTATGAAGCCACTTTTACTTCATGTGTTTCGTAGTCTTCATCATTCATCTCCTCAATTGGATTTTGTTTGGGTTCTTCTTGGTAAGAACATAAGCAACTTTCAAAAGGCTGAGGTAAAAAAAAAAATTCCTTTCCACCTCCCTTGAACTTGAAAGGTCTGTTGAGATCTCCAATTCTGCCATTAATTTTTTCCTGGTACTTGTTCCATGTTGATCTCCTTAAAATTGTTGGTGAAAATACCAGAAAATTATATTTTATTGATAAATAATGCAAAGAAAATGAGATACAAATAGATCGGGTTGAAGCACAGATATCTCGTTTTCTTTAAGGAGATCAAGCCCACTACGGTAGGAAGAACCCAAATACCGATACAGCAGTTATGAAACTATGACTTGTCCCCTTCAAGATACAACAGCCCGACCATTTGTCATATGGTTCAGACCAACTTTGCACAAGACGGTGAACCCAAAGCTCCACCAAGAAAAAACACCCTTCTTTGGCTAGTAATCTCTCAAGTATAGAAAAATAGTTTGTGTAGAAAAGAGTAGATGAGAGAAACAATTTATAGGCCACTAGGTCCTTAAAAATTACACCGAAAAAATAATGATCACTAACTCACCACCAACCCCTTGACCTTCCAATTAATCTCCATTCATGAACAAAACAAAAGGTCACCAAATACAAATGAATCTCCATTTACCAAACAAAATGAGATTCATGAATAAGACAAAATAAGATTCATGAACAAGGTAACAGGTCATATTAAAGACAAAAAAATAAATAAATAAAAAAAGGATATTAAAATGGTCCAACACTATTTAAATTATATTATTAGTTATTATGTATATTTGAGTGTGGATTCTGAAACCTTAATTTCATTCATCGATTAATTTCACTCATTAAATTATTTTATTATACGATTCATGCGCTTTCGAATATAATTAAGATAAACACATCATAAGACACAGAGTGAAATTAGTAAACAAATGAATTTGACAACATTCCGATGTGTTGAGTGTTGCAGGACCCTTTTCCCATCTCATATTTATAATTGTTGGAAATGGAAGTTAACTCCTCCATCTACAACTAATCCATGGCTCTACAGAATTTCTATACATAATTATGTAACTCAATATAGGTCATTCACTTTAAAGCAAAATATTCATAAAGATAATATGTATTTATTAAAATAGTATTGCTATATCATTTTCGTAATATTTTTTATAAAAATTTTATATATGACTAACAATTGTCAACTATTAATTATATCTAATTAATGAGTTAGTGAGAATCAATAAAGTTAAAAATTTTGTTGGATTAATAATGACATAATAAATTAGTAATACATTAAAATAGCATATTTTTTATTATTAATAATGACATAATAAATTAGTAATACATTAAAATAGCATATTTTTTATTAAAAAATTTAATTTAAGGGCTGGGCTTCCTTCCAATCCGTGATCAGACTTAAGGGTGCTATTGGGCCCGTGGGGTCCACCACGGGTCCCATTTCAATAATCCAAACTATTCAATGTGTAGAACTCGTCGTTTACTATATGTCTGTAAAAAATCACGATGAAAAAATAAACGATTGACAGAAATCTGACCCGATTAGATAGCTATTGATATCCGATCAATGTGATTTTTTACAGGCATATAGTACTCGACAAGTTCTACACATTGAATGTGTCACGACCCAAACTCACCCCTATAGGTTTAACGACGTAACCGACCAGTAATCCTAGGATTACCAAAAGCCTCTTAACAGAATAACAAAATATAAGGGATTACGGAAGCAATTATACAAAATACAAGGTCCATAAAGCTATGTAGACATACATGAGACAGAAAAGAAATTTTAAGCTTATATAATGTCGTAAGGGACTTAGCCCAACGTACAGATAAGCAAAACAAACAACAAAACATCTTCAACGGTTCTCAAAACTTGACTTCTCAAAAAGGAACCTACCCGGGAGGCACAGTGGTTGGCTAACCCAAAAACACTTCAAGCAGCAACTTAGGCCTAGTCACGCGCCTGTTCACCTACATACATAATATAAATAGTGAATGGAAGGCCAATGAATAATAACAGAGTAAAGGGTTTAAATAAATGATGTCCATAACAGATTCAGAAATCAAAGTTCATATCAGAAATAGATTTATATTCATATTCTTGTTCAAACTACATACAAGAATCAAAATTCATGCTTCATCATACATGGTACATCCATTAGCATTATCATGCTTGTCAGTTCCATAAGGAACCTCTGGTACCGGGAACTTGTAATATACTTGAGCCACGGTAAAGGCCATATGAGACCACGGTATTGTTACCCCCGGGAAGGGGCCTTGTGCTTATAGACCACGGTATTATTACCCCTAGGCATGGGCCTTGTGCTAAGGATGCCACGAATACTTGTCAAAAAATGAGACAGTCATTCATCGTATAGAACATAACATTTCATAAACAGATCTTATTTCTTCATACAGAAAATAATTAAGGTCGAACATAGCTTTACTAAGTCATTACTCACAGATGGCTCCAAATGCGGACAGACAGAGTAGACAAAATCAAACAGCTTATCGCGGTTGACCTACACAAACATAACAGATACACATCTTGAAACGCATACCCGAATATCACATAACTTCTTTCATTTCTTTCTTAGTGTGTTTCTAAGTCTCATCCTCATTATTAGGTCTTAATTATGGCCTAGGAATGTCTAGGATGCAATAAGGATGCCAAAATGCACTTTGGAACTCTTAACAAAACTTGCTAAAAACAGGGGCCCTGCTTGAGCCCAACTTCCCTCGCTCGAGCGGACATGCAAACATATGAGAGGCAGATCAAGCACAACTTCATTCGCTCAAGTGGTCTATAAACTCTTAAAAGCACTGGTTGTGTGAATTCTCCGCTCGATGGCTGCTCGACGATCGCTCGAGCGTGAGACTGGGGTCCTCACTTGGGTGTAACTCTTGTCACTCGAGCGGTCTGCAAAATGTGTAAACTTTTGAGAGCTTGCATTTCACGCTCGAGCCAACTTTTGGTCACTTAAGCGGAAGTGCAAGATCACAGAGTGGTCACTCGAGCGTAGCTTCTGTCGCTCGAGGGTAGCTTATGTTGCTCGAGCAGAAGAATAGAATCTGGAATTTTCAGATTGCACTCCCAAGCTCAAAACTCGAATCAAACACTTTAAAACTCATCCTTTTGTGCCAAAAACTTGAGGAACCTTGTATAAACTTGGAAAATATCTTGAATTCAAAACCATTTCGTAAAATCAAGGCCCAATAGCATGCCAATTTGATCAAAAGTCAACTTGAAACTTATGAATATGCCATGAACATGACTTGCATAAATTACTATGAACTTAGACTTTCCAAAACATGATCAATTAAGGTCAAATGGTAAGAAATGTGATGAATTCTCAAAACCAAGTCAAAATAAACAAATGCATATGGAAATTCTTTAGAAACAAACTCAAAATGCTATGATATATGCATGCATGCATGAATGGCTCCATTTTCTTCATTTCTAGCTTAGTTCTTCCATTATTCAACTTAATTCTCTTGAATTCAAGGTCTAGACATCATATTTGAACAATCCAAGGGTTGAATTGTTACCTAGGCTTGCCAATGAGGGGGCTAGAGGCTTGTTTCTTGTATCTTTAAGTTCAATTCATTCAATTCTTAGCAAATCCATTAAATAATCTACAATGCCTTCAATTCACAGAACAAAACAGAAACTCAAATAGATATTTCTACAAAAGACAGATATAAGCACAAATAATATGACATACATGCAATTTAATTCAAAATTTCGCCTTAATTACTGATTAGACTTATTTAATCACGAATTAACGTTAATTAGAGGTCGGGGTTGTTACAGAATGATTTAGATTATTGAAACGAGAGCCTTGATGGGTCCCCACGGATCCAACAATACCCTTCAATCCGATAACGGACTGGAGGGAAGCCAACCCCAAAATTTAACTAGTCAAAATTGTAGTAGTATAACATAACATTGTGTTATGTGTCAAATTTGACACATAAAATAACATTGTGCTATTTTAGCATATCATATATTACACCTAGAATAAGTGTTTTATGGCTATGTTTGGGATATTACTTTGAGCTAAAATAGTCATGTAGGATGAAATTAACTATTTTAGCCTAATAGGACAATGTCATATCCAACTCATAATTATTTCATTTTTTTTCCCTTTAAAAGGTCAAAAAAATCAAAAAATCTATCTCAAACGAGGCTTTTTAGCCCCAGGATTAAGAGGTGGTTTGGAATGTTCTGAATAAGTGTATTTTTTTGACTTTTTATTTAAAAAAATGTGTAAAAAAGTAGAGAAAGTGATTAGAAAAGTAGAGAAGAGATGTTGATAAATGTTGATTGATATAATCCAAATAAGTGTATATATGTAAAAAAAGTGCACTTTTTTAATTTATCGCAAACACCTACTAAAGTCTCATTTGGGAACAAGCTATTAACTTTTTAGCTTTTTACGAAAAGATGTGTAGAAAAGTAGAGAGAGTGATGTGATAACTTATACTAACTTTTTGACTTTTTGGCTAAAATGTATAGTTGACAAACGAGGTCAATTAGCTAAAAACTCAAAAAGTCAACCCACATTCCGAAGAAGGCTATATTATGCTTTTCTAACACTACTATATCTAAATATTAGACCACTAGAAGATCTCACAAATCTAAAGGAACTGGTTATAGGAAAATGATTTGTAGCTCGAATGTGTTGGGCTCGACTAGCTTGAAAGTACTAATTTTCTCTCTTCTCTCTATCTCTTTCTTTTGCTTTGCTCTCCTCTTTGCCTCTGTTCACTATATTCTTGAAACCAAAAAAGGGACTCATCTCTCTCTCTCTCTCTCTCTCTCTCTCTTTCATCTGTCTCATCTCTAGTCGTAGAAGGAGGAATCACTCTTACCTCTCTCTCTACCCATCCCTCTCATTCGACAGACCTCTCTTATCACCTTCCGATTACTCTCTAGTCGTGGAAGAACGAACGACAACTGAGGACAAACAACGACGAACGACGGCCTGTGACAGTGAACGACGGACCAAAAGGAATCTGAGGTAAACCTAAAATCGCAAAGCTAGGGTTTATGTTTGGCTTCAATTTGTGTAGAAATTAGTAGATTTGGCTTGCAATTTGTGATCGGGCTTGGGATTTGGCTTTAATTTGTTATGTGTTAGGGTTTGGGATTTGTCTTTAAGCTGTTATCCTCTGTATATATCTATTTGGTGTTGCCTTGAATTTGATTTTGCTTCAAATACACATATTTGTGGTAAAATACACACCTGCTTGGTATACATTTGTTTGTTTTTGGCTTTGAATTTGGTTTTGCTTGAAATACACATCTGTCTGGTCAAATACACATCTATTTATTATACATCTATTTGTTTTTTGCTTTAATTTGGTTATGCTTGAATAGTTATCCAACTAATCTGTATTGTAATCTGAGCTATCAGTTTGGTTTTGGCTTTAATTTGGTTGTGCTTCAATAATCATACATTTGTTTTTAGATATGCTTCAAATATGTAAAATTATAAACAATCAAATGTGTAAATCTGTTATATAAATCTGTCTTGAAATGTGTAAATCTAAAAATCTGAAAATCAAATGCTTGAATAATTATAAAAATCTATCTTCAAGCATTATAAACAATCAAATGCTTGAATAGTTATCCAATTAATCTGTCTTCAAATGTGTAAATCTGAAAATCTGAGTTGAAATCTGTCTTCTTCAAACAATCAAATGGTTGAATAGTTATCCAACTAATCTATCTTCTTCATGTTGAAATCTAAAATCTATGTTGAAATCAAATGTTTGAATACTTATATAAATATGTCTTCAACTGATGGCTTCTTCTTCTACTAATAATAGCAAATTATAAAACTGTGGCTTCTTCTTCTACTAATAATAGTAACATAAGATTAAAACCAAGATTGTGTGATTGTGAGAGAACTGCGGCGATGTATATTGTACGCACGAATGACAACGGAAACCAAGGACGTTTGTTCTTTGTTTGCCTATAGAAATATGTACGTATCGATTATAAAATTTGATGTTTTACTGTGCACAAAGTTATTTATGTGATTTGATTAACTAATTTTTGTGCATTGTAGAGTCATAAAGAACATTCTTCAAATTCGCGAATGAGGATGATGACGACAGTATCTCCACAATCCGTTCACATGTTGGACCTCAGAAAGCTATAAGAACAGAAGAACTAAACGATATAAAGACAAGGCTTTGTGAGATAGACAATGAGTATGGTGCAAGGCTACAAAGGATGGAGAAAAACTTCAAAATTAGGATTTATGTCATTGTTTTTTGAGTCTTTTTGCACTTTACCATGTAAATTTCATGAATCGAATGTAACCAGAAACTTCATTCATATTTTGTATCTTTTTGTACTTAATGATGTAAATTACTGAATTGTTAGATGCTTTAGGGAATTTCATGAATGCGTTGTGTTGTGCTGTGTTGTGTATTCGGATGAGTTTGTATGGTTTGTGATATTCCAACTCCAACCAGGATGCAGTCTTAGTCCACAATGGATGCTGTGTTAGTCCACAATGCAAGTTGAGAATACTCTTTTTATGTCATATATGTTAATCATGTACTTGCTGGCTTAGAGGGGGCTAGATGGCTTGAGAGTAATTTTATGAACAACACACCAATGGTTTTTGGTATATGCATGAGAGTACGTAACCTAAACTTGGTTTTTATGACATGAGCTAATTTCTGTTGTCTTAGTGCTGTAATGTGCCACATTTTTATTCTTGTTTGTGTTTCTGCTATAATTTAGATTATTCCTTTATTTTCAATTGTTGGAGCACCAGAAGAATCCCAAAAAGCCATTGCAAAAGCACTTCCAAAGCTCTTTGATGTGTGATACCCGTTAATTGGATGTTGTCTTAGTCTATAATGCAAGTTTGTCTTGCATTTGGCACACTCTTGCAACCACCACATATCTCATCGGACTCATCAAATTGCTCTCCAATCAAAGCCATCAACTGCCCAACAAAAATCCATTAGTGACCAAACACGCAAATAAGTTTTCTAAACTAATAAGTTTTCTCATCAAATTGTTATAAACTAACACTAAGAAAAAAGATCAAAAAACTTATTTGTTGTTGGTAACAGTCCACTTGCCCCCATTAGCACACTCAGGATCTTCCCATTTGGGCTAAATCCCAGCTCTGAACAAATGAAAATCAGCATTTGCAAGAAACTTGCTAGGCTTAAAAATTTGATCATACAAACTACACAAAACTTCACAACTTCACAAATCAAGACACAAAATCTCATCCATATTTTTCATATCATGTGCAAAGATTTAAAGTAGTCAATTAAAATCAAATGGAATATCAATCTCTCATTAAAAAAAAAATCAAATCTTGGGTTTGTTTTGTTCGTCCTCTCAGCAATTGTCTATAACAACCCTGTGTAACCAAAGACAGACAAAATTTTCATGCACAATAAAGGACTTGATCTCACACATAATACCAAAAATGAATGCCCAATGAGACCATCTCACATGAAAAAAAACATTGTAATAGAAAATTACTAATCCAAAATAATAAAACAATTTACAAAAGTTCAATTACCAAAGGATTAACATTCGCCACACAAAAGTTCAACCACAAATTTTCTTTACCAAACCACAATTTATAAATCTTCCATGATTAACCAAAAACACAATCAGGCATACAATGGCCAACAATTACTAGTGCAAAACATATTCTAGCCATAATACCTACATTGTTACATACGAATGTCATACAATTACTAGTGCAAAACTAAAAAAATAATTGGGCATTTGAATCTGCATCTATATTGAAGTCAACAAATTCTGATGCTACTGTTGAACTTTTCCTGCTTATATTGTTGACTATTCCTGCTTGAGTGTGAGAGGTGCTTCCAATATTGTCCGCCATTTGCATTGTGCTAACCCGTGCCTATAAAAACAAAGTACATATTACAAATAATAACCACAAACATATTGACCAATTTAAAATTTAATTCGTCATTAAAATATGTGTACTCATATATTGAACACGTACTAGTATATACATATTGTCCTGTGTGCTCACCATAGAAGGAAAATAGTAAAGTTGATCTTGCGGCATCTTATCATTATATAGGGGGACAAAGTTAGTAGTAATTTGAAGCTTTAAAATAAAACCCCACAACAAACAAAGTGCAATATATTAAGTCTATTCAACACATACCGATACATACATATTGTCTAGTGTGCAAACTATAAAAGGAAAATAGTGAGGTTGATCTTGCGGTACCTTATCATCAAATAGTAACACAATTTCATTACTAATTTCAAGCATTAAACTATCAATACACAAAAACCTTACGAAATAACCTACCCAAAGCATTTACCTGTGCGGGAGTAGTCTTCTTATTCTTTCCCTTTAACCGATTAACTATTTGATCAACCTTGCTAACCTTCCGCTTCGTTCTAAGGGATTTACTTTTGATTTTTTTGTTCGGATCCGCACCCAAGTACATTCAATTTCAAAGTACTTTACTTCCCCGTCACTTGTTAGATTTTGTGATTTAAAAGCTATAGCAAATCCACAGTGTTTCGCATATTTTGCATAAGATATGTACACTTCTTGTTTTGAGGTAATATACATCCCCTTCTTAGGTTCTTTAACTTCCCCACTCTCGTTAAATGACATATTGTGATCTTGTTCTTCAACTTCATCACTCCCATTGAATGAATTATTGTTTGAATCAATATTCATTGTAGCTTCAAAGTTAAATAAAATACTATTAAATACTGTTCAAATGATTAAAATGTTAACATACTGTGAAAATGATTAAATTGATCAAATTTTGCTCAGACAATGAATCTGAGCAAATGCATGTGAATCTCAAACAATAAATCTATAATAATAGTAGACAATGAATTTGAAATAAATCCTCAAGTAATAGAGTAATAGAAGAGCAGCCGTGGCAACCACGATAGCTACATATAAATCCAATCTACTAATTTTTGGGGGGTACCTCCGATTAAATTGATAAAATTTTGCTCAAACAAAAATGCTATTATGCATGTGAAACAATAAATAAATCCAATTTTTTTTTTTAATAATAGTAAACAATGAATCTGAAAAAAAAAAATTAAAAAAATAAAATAAAATAAAATCAATCTTCAACTAATAGAGCAATGGAAGAGCAGCCATGGCAGCCACAAATAAATATTATGATAGAGCAATGGAAAAGTAACCATGGCAGCCACAATCATCTTAGCTAGCAGCCATGGCAGTCATGGCATCCACAATGACAAAGCAGATTATAGAGCAATGTTTGAAAGGGAAGTACCTTATCCACAACTCAAACACAACTCTGATTGCTCTACGACACACAAACTTCCTTCTTTTCCACTTCGATGAAACAGCAACAGTGGCGACACAAGCTAGGTTACGACTAGACAGTGCTTCGCTCTCTCTACTCTGTTCTTTTCTTCTTTTTCTTTTTTTTTTTAAATGAAATGAAAGGTGGATGTATACACAGCTACAGCAGCACCAAGTTGAGTACAAACGTGCTTTCGAGCCATTCGATCCAAAGACTTTTGAGCTACGTAGCGGAACCGCTGGTTATAATAGATTAAAAGTTGCAGCAATGGTAGAGGGCCCAAATTTTGTGGCTCAAATGTGGCTCAAATGGCCAAAACGACGTCGTTTTGAGTACAAAACAACATCAAAATGGCCAAAACGACGTCGTTTTGGCTATTTGAGCCATATTTGAGCCACAGAATTAGGGCCCCCAAACATTTTTCTTTGAGAATACATATCATGTGTGGCATCCAAAGCAAATCATCTAACTTATATTGTTAGATAAAACTCTAACATAAATATAATAATTTCACTGCATAGGAATTCTAAATAAATCATTAAATTTTTTATCAAAAATCTCAAATGAGTGTGGAACTCACATGTAAGAGTTTTGACAAAAAATTTAATAATTTATTTAAGATTCATAATATTTTTTTAAATAAATTAAAATAAAGAAGACAATACGCAAGACTATCTTTTCGGATACCCAAATAGTTACTCTCTTTAACCATCTCATAAAGGATTTGTTGGGACATCAATTAATGTTACTTTTGACACTCAGAATTATTATTATTTTGTGCCACTAGAATCCATTTGAATAGAAAAATATTAGGAATAGAAAAATTAATTTTAAATATTTTATTAAATATTTAATCAAATGTCTTACATGGCCGTAAGACTCACATAATGTAGGTCTCACGTAATGTAGGTCTCATGTGAGTCTCACGCCTATTGTCACAATTTGAGTGTGAAGTTGTGTTTTGAGTTTAAAATATTAAAATTAAAATTAAAATATTTACAAAATAAAATAAAATGTTTAAAATAAAAATAAAAAATATTTAAATGAAAATTATATATTTAAAATAAAAATAATTTTTTTAAACATTTTTTAATATTTTAAAAAAATAATCTAAAAAATTCAAAATATAACTTAAAATTCAAAAACTCAAAACTCAAAATACAACTCCAAACTCTTTTCAAAACTCAAAACTCTTTACAAAATTCAAAATTCAAAAACTCTTTTCAAAACTCATAACTAAACAAATTTTTTATTTTCAAAACTCAACTCACAAACTCTTTTCAAAACATTTTTCAAAATTTATAACCAAACAAATTTTCTATTTCAAAACTCAACTCACAATTTCATACTCAAATCACAACTCCAAAATGATAATCACAATTCTAAAATTAAACCAAAAGCTAAATAATTTAGCCCTATGAGACTCACAACCTTTTGATATTATAATTTAGCAACTAGTTATAATAGATGGTCATTTGGATGAGCTTTTATAGTGATTTTTTTTTATTGGTGTTTTTTTTTAAAAAAAACTTTTTTTAATAAAAAAATTCATAAGCTTTTAGAATTTTAGATTTAGAATTTACGAAGCAGGAGAGTAAAAAATAAAATAAATGAATGAATAAATAAATAAATTGAAAAAAATCCATTAAAATCAAAACAACAAAAAAATGATCTTTAGTGAATTTTTTATTTTTATTTCTTAGATTATTCTACACTATAAAAATTAGAAAAGTAAAAAAAATTGACATAATTTTGAATTTTTTTTTTTTACTAAAAAAAAAAATGCTACTTTTTTTGTTGAATGCCAAACGACACCTGATTCTTAATCGCTAACATTTCTATTTTATTAATACTATTATGTATCCAAAAAAGATATCTCAAAAATAAAATACATGGATAAATTTGGATAAATTGCACTGACTTCTTAAGGAATTTTACAAGTTTGACATAATTATTGGGCTCACTTAAAGTTTTAATTCACACATTTAACTTATTTGCAATAGTATTTTATTAGTCATATGAATAAAAAAATTATAAAATTTATATTTTAATATCTTATTTTATTTATGACACCGTCTATTTAATTTTGATGCTTGCCTTACTAAAATATGAGGAAATTCTCTTGGTGGATCCGTGTGGCTATTCACATATGCAATTTTGTTTGTTGTGAATAAAAATCAAATGATGTGAGTAGCTACAGACTTGAGTCTTACATTACACATTTTCCTTATCCTTACACCTGCCACTTCCTTGGCCTTCCATTCACTCAATCCATAATCCACCCTCTCCACCCACCAAAAAAGTATCCTACAATACTGTCTCACGTATATCTCTACATCTTCACTCTCCTCATCTCTTCTTCTTCTTCTTCTTCTCCTTCATCACCATCACAAAACCATGGCTACTGCAGTGAGTGCTGCTGTCTCTCTCCCATCCTCCAACTCTACTTCTCTTCCAACCAGAATCTCAATCATCTCACCAGACAGAATCAACTTCAAGGTATATATACATATCTGTAGAGTAATCATTATGAGAATTTTTTTAGTGCTAGGCGTTTGAATGCTCTGTTTTGATGGCTTGCTCGACCATCTTTCTGGTGCTTGATGGGAGTGTATCGAGCTTCATTGTAACATATATATATATATATATGTATTTTTTTTTTTTTTAGAACTTTTTAAGTTTAAACATTTGTTGAAATAGCCAAATTTAAAGCATTTGTTAAAAATATCAAATTTTTTTCACTTCAAATTTTTCGTAGTGATGTTTTAATCATGACTTATAATTTTAATAGTCACTGTCACAACATTTTTAAAGGGTAATTCTGTTTATAAATTATTTTCTATATATATATATATATATATTTCGGACAAATTATAAGCAGGTGGGATAATCATAAAATAATTGCATTCCGTATAAGAATCACCGGAAAATTATTCAATAATTCCAGAACATCACATGGTATGGCGATACTCCAAATCAATCATCAATTACGTAATCTTATATTATTTCACATTCCCAATATAAATCGTGACTCTTGTCTCTCTCTACCAATTAAAACCTTATAAATACCATGAATACTAAATAATCACCCACGATACACCAAAAAGACTTCCACGAAGTACGGAAATGGACCTGCACTATCATGAAATTATATTTCCACAGTTGGACTTAAATGAATTTTTTCCATCTTTTTTTTTTTTGGGAGTTTTTGTGACATGGGTTGTGGGTTTGGCAGGTACCTTTGCCCTATAGAAATGTGTGTGGAGGTGGGAATGGGAAGATGGTTGTTTCAATCAGAGCCCAAGTCACAACAGAGGCACCTGCAAAGGTTGAAAAGGTTTCAAAGAAAATGGAGGAAGGAGTGGTAGTGAACAAGTACAGGCCAAAGGATCCATACATTGGGAGATGTCTTCTTAACACTAAGATCACTGGTGATGATGCTCCTGGTGAAACTTGGCACATGGTCTTCAGCACTGAGGGTATGGTGGTGGCCTTTAATTATTTTTGCAAAATATCAGATAAATAAAAGGCAGATAAAATAATTACAAAATAATAGAGTTCAACTTAGGATCGTGATTTGCAATTGTTTTTCCTTTATACCATTTGTATGATGTTCCCCAATTATTATCATTTTTCTTATGATACTATATTCCCCACTAAAGCGGGATAATGTATCGTATTATCCCATTCTGAAGGGTTTGTCTCTGACTCAACCCTGCGCCACCAAAACACTAACGACAAACATTACCATTGGGGAGGCTGTCTCCATTATTTTTAAAGATTAATTTGGGTGTTTTTTGAGCTGATTGATTGGTTTAATGGGTTGATTAATTAGGAGAGGTCCCATATAGAGAAGGGCAATCAATTGGAGTGATTCCAGATGGTATTGACAAGAATGGGAAGCCTCACAAGCTTAGGTTATACTCCATTGCTAGCAGTGCTCTTGGTGACTTTGGTGACTCTAAAACTGTAAGGCCTTTTGTCTTTTCTTTTTTTCTTTTTTTAAATAAATATTTAGCTCAGAGTGATGTTAATGGCATATCTTACTTCCAATTTCATCTGATCAATTAAAATTTAAACATTTTTTCATTGTATTTATATATTTCTTTTTCTTTCATCATCTTTCCTTCTTTAAAAAACAATAAATTATCTAGTGGCATTGTCTGATTGGCTCATATATGCATACAGGTGTCGCTGTGTGTGAAAAGGCTTGTGTACACCAATGATAAAGGAGAATTAGTTAAAGGAGTTTGCTCAAACTTCTTGTGTAAGAATGCAAGACTCTCTAACTCTGATGTTTAATGTTTCCAATATTTTCTGAATCCAAATAGAAATTAGCCTATGTTCCCGGTTTCAAACATATGCAAATGACATGTCTTTTGTTTGACAAAGAAGTGGAAAAGGTTACGTACCCAAAAATTACCTGGAAGAAAAAAAAAATTCAAACTTTGGCACATTTTATTTTTTACATACCCTTCTAAGTTTTATTGTTGTGTATTTTCAGGCGACTTGAAGCCTGGAGCTGAAGTGAAGATCACAGGACCTGTTGGAAAAGAAATGCTTATGCCAAAGGATCCCAATGCCACCATCATAATGGTATGCCATTAAATGCATTTTGTCTAATATTATTTGCATAACAATGCTATGGATTTAGGAAAATGCTCAAAATTTAAAATGTGTGAATCAATTTTATTTTAGCCCATATCACACCAAATAAAAAATCTGTGCCAGACATTCAAATTATTAGGACTACTAAGGGTAAATTTTTTATATATTTTTTTTTTGGGTATATAGCATTCTCATAATTAACATTTAATCGGATTATCTGCAGTGTTAATGACTACTTATTAATTTATTTGGATAGTGCTTTAATACATGTGGTGTATCATTTGATTAATGTTCGTTTGCAGCTTGCAACTGGAACTGGAATTGCTCCTTTCCGCTCATTCTTGTGGAAAATGTTCTTTGAGAAACACGTCGATTACAAGGTATTCAGTTCGAATTTGAGACATGAGAGTAGCCACTTTATGCAAATTATGGCAAAGGTCAATGTTGTACCCAATCTACCCCTCCCAAACTCCATCTAATAGAACTATATTGGGAGTACCTTTTTTTTTTTCCCTTCTTTTTTTTATGCTGGAAAAAGAAAGTAACATTATATTATGTGAATGATTGAAACACGATTGCTCTAATAACCTAATTGTTGTGCAGAATCATAGTTTCAATCACATAATAAAGAACAAACAGACATAGGGATTCGAACATAAGATATAAGTGGTTCAACAAGGTGTGCCTGAGTCTACGGTGGAGAGAGAACAAATCCACTATACTCCAAGAGTATCACAGATAACTCTCAACCTCTCAACGCAACTCTTTATTTTGAAACACTCAAATGAAACCCTACCGGAAAATTACAATGTATACCACCTAATCTTCGGGCACCCACAAAGGACATGGGTGAATCTCCATTGGACACAACACTAATTTCTCATCTCATGTGATTTTTTGTCTTGACATTTTGTAGTTCAATGGATTGGCATGGCTCTTCTTGGGTGTCCCTACAAGCAGCTCACTTCTATACAAGGAGGTAAGTTAAAAGTTCTCTCTAATTAGATTATAGATTGATTAATTTTCCCACATCATGTTCAATTGGAAGCGAAACCTTTTAGAATCAATACAATTTCTCGTGTTGGGTGATGATACAGGAATTCGAGAAAATGAAGGAGAAGGCACCAGAAAACTTCAGGCTTGATTTCGCAGTGAGCAGAGAACAAACCAATGAGAAAGGCGAAAAAATGTACATCCAAACCAGAATGGCTCAATATGCACAAGAGCTATGGGAATTGCTCAAGAAGGATAGCACCTATGTGTATATGTGTGGGCTCAAAGGCATGGAAAAGGGCATTGATGACATCATGGCCGACTTGGCTGCCAAAGACGGTATGGAATATCGACATATTAGCATTTAAATCAATGTGTTCGAATTGCATATAGAGAAAATCGATGTGTATCCAACTCTATGTTTGCTCGTGTTTTTCAGGCATCAATTGGATGGAGTACAAAAAGCAGTTGAAGAAGGCAGAGCAATGGAATGTCGAAGTCTACTAGTTCTTGTCTTCTTGTACAGGATAGGTAACCTCTTTTGTAATTATTTTTGTTTTTCTGCTTTCTAAAGCAATTATATTGTTATATATGACTTTTAAGAGAGTTATTTTTGAGGGCGTGTATCAAAAATATAGTGGAAGCCAATTTCATACTCTTTGTATGGATTTTCAATTGGACATTTCTTGCTTATTCTCATAAAACAACAATACTACATCTCCAGAAAAAATATCTTGAACATTAACTAAAATGGGTTATTGCCTGTGTCTAATCAAACCCTGGTTAATCTTGATGAGCACCAGTGACTATTGGTTGAGTGACATGAGTATAGCCCTTCAATTGATAGAAGTTTGAGGTTCTAAAGCATTAGAATAGGATCAACGAGGTTATTGATTCTTCAATTATTTGAAAATGAATTTTAAACGATGTAACATAAATTGATTACACAGCAGCAAAAATTGGGACAGTAGTGTAGTCATTGCAAAGATTAGGGCTATGATCAAGCTGAGTTGAGCCAATTAATAGATTGTTTTAGCTTGAAAAGTTAACAAGTTTCAAAATATTTTCAAGTTTGATTTATTTACCTAACGAGCTGATCTCAAACAAGTTTTTAACGAGTCGAGTACAAATTAAGTTCAAATAATTTAATTTTTTATAGTATGTATAACCTTGTTGAACCGAACAATAAATTATAAAAATTTGATTTGAAAACTTAATATGTTTAAAATTGATTATTGATTTACACCAGTAAATCCAATGGGTTTGTAAAGATTTGGGCATGGTGTCTGGTTCGCCTCTCACTATTATTGTTTTTCGTCTCCTCTTATCTGTGTTGTAAAAAACAAAACAAAAAAAGGGTTCAACTTCTACATTGAAATCTATTTCCTTTTCCATTTGAATCATTCATTATAAAGGGTTTTTTTTTATGATGATTTTTTTGTTTAGTGATTTTTTTATAAAAATAAAAAATAAAAAATAAAAAGTCCTAGGCTTTTGTTTCTGCTCAACTAAATGAACTGAAAAATTTTGAAAAAAATCCATAAAAGAGTATTAGAAAAAAAAAAAAAAAAAAAAGAAGCAGCTAAAACAATTTTTTTTTGTGATTTATTTAGATGTTTTCGAACACTCAACTGTAATTTAACTTCTAATTTATCTTTAAACCAACTAAAATTAACTGAATAATCCTATATGTACTAATTAATGTACACACTAGTATAACAACAGATGATGTGTCATAATTTAAGAGGTTTTGAATATTTATAATTTGTATAATAAATAGGATTATTAATTATACCATAACACTAATTGGTATACTAGTATATATACTAATTGGTACCACCAAAATTAACTTCTAATTATTATAGAAAAACATTAATTGCTAATTAATCAAGCCATATATTTATATATATTATTTATTTATCAATTATTATATGCTCTCAACGTCCTACTCGGGAAAAAAAAATGTAAAATTGTTGGGGGAAACAATTTTTTTTTTTTTTTTCAAATCTCATGAATTTTTAATTATATAATTTAAATTTTAATATTTTGATTTATTTTCAAATTAAATTATTAATTATGAGAAAATTAATCTTTTTTATTTGGTTATGTATATATCTATTTACATGGAGCGATTGGTATGGTAGGGTTACAAGTGTTATTTGTTTTGGAAAGCTCGAAGGATCTATCCATCAATGGCGGAGGAAAACAGCAGATCGAGAGGCACTGTGAGGTGGTTCGATGACCAGAAGGGTTACGGCTTCATCTCCCCCGACCTCGGCGGCGAAGATCTCTTCGTTCATCAATCTTCCATCAAATCCGACGGTTTTCGTACCCTTCAGGAAGGTCAAGTCGTCGAGTTCCTCATCGCCTTAGAGAACGATCGCACCAAGGCCATTGAAGTCACCGGTCCTGACGGATCTTCCGTCGACAAGATCGGCAAGGATTTTTACTCCGCCGGAAGAGGCGGCCGCAGTGGCGGTTTTGGATTTCGTAGCGGCGGCGGAGGAACTGGGAGGAACGGTGGTGGCAATGCCTATCGCGGCGGCGGCGATGGGTGTTATAACTGTGGAGAGAGTGGGCATATGGCGAGGGATTGTCGCCGCCAAATGATGAACGCCGGCGGAGGCGGTGGAGATGGTGCTTGTTATAACTGCGGTGACTATGGGCATATGGCTAGAGACTGCAATCGCGGCCGTGGCAGCGGCGGCGGTGGAGGTGGAGGTGGAGGGGCGTGCTATAACTGTGGAGGAGTAGGTCATTTGGCGAGGGAGTGCCCTAGCGGCGGCGGCGGCGGCGGTTATGGAAGGTTCGGCGGCGGCGGCGGAGGCGGTGGCGGTGGTTTTGGAAGGTTCGCAAGTGTCGGCGGAGGCAACTGCTACAATTGTGGGGAGCAAGGGCACTTCGCGAGAGAATGCCCTAACAATTCCGCAGCTTGACAACTTTCATGGGGATCTGATAAAAGAGTAATCGTATAGATCTCTTCTTCTTATCTTTTGATACCATTATCTGCTATTTTCGTTGAGCTTTTTATTTTTATTTTTTATTTTTTATACATAAGATCGTTCTTTTAGATAGTATCTGGTTTTGGGTTTGTTAGCGATCCACTGTTTGCCAAGAATTTTCGAGTTGGTATAGATATATAGAATGGTGGTTCGGTAACTGATCTAGGGTTTTTGCTTCATTTTTGGTTCAATGAACTTGGGATAATTTTGCATTTGGTGAATTTACTTCTAGTGTTTGTATATCCAAATTTATGTGAATTGATGGTTTAATTCTCTGCTTGAATCTTTAAATGGGATGTGCATTTGGGGCTCTGTTATTAATTAGCCTTTTTTAAGTGTATTCAACTGTGTTTGTATTTATAACAGTTGCTCAATATCAAGAGCATAGACCTATGCTCTTAGTTAAATTTTTCAATGCCAGTTGTGGATTCAATGGCCAATTTTAAACCGTGCAATGTTTAAAAAATAACCTTGATGCCAAATTCATCAATCCCAATCAGAGTTGTCTCAGGTTGTCCATAATTGAGCCAAAGGAAACAAAACCAGTTATTTCTGGTGGTCAATGGATTTGGCTGAAAATCCAAGTTGGCTGCTATTGCATTAGCTCTATTCTTCCTATTTTTGCAATTTGGTATGCAACAGCAAAATCAAATTGGCCGTCATTTGGTTTTGTATTTTTTTTTTTTTTTTTTTTTTTGGGTGGGGGGTTTTTTTTTTTTTTTTTTGGTGTGTGTGTGTGATGTTTTTTTATTTATTTATTTAGAAGTCAACTTGGTGTACCTCTTGCTTTTGGACTTGATGATAAAAAAAATTGGTGGATATTATATACTATGAACTTCTGTGTTAATTTACATTTTTATTTTTCTTGGGGTGGGGTGTTAGGTGTTTTCCTGTGTCAATTTTGTTGCCATCATTTAAATATATCTTATGGTGGCGTCAGCTTGTTGTGTAATAATCTGTCTTGCATGCTGCAATGGTTTGATTTCACCCAGTGTTATCAAACGCGCACACCTGGGGCTCCTCATCACCCTTGAGGTGAGACAACTTTGATGAATCATAGTCGATGCATATGCTTCTTTCAATTCTTTTTGATTTGTTAAAGACATGATATGATCCCTTCAATCTATTGAAGTCCATTATAATTCTATGTGCTTGCATACCCTGTCAAAGAGTCTCAACTCTAGTTAATGTGGTGTACTCCTTATGTCTCTTCTTTTTTCTTTTTCGTGTGTTTAATTATTTGATTACTAAATTCTTTATTGTATAATTGCTTTACAGTTGTTAATTGTTCAATTGCTTGATTTAAATTTACTTCATTTGAAATTGTTGATGCAATTCAAGTTATCAAGCACAACATATCGCATTGGGTGATAAGAATATTCAGTAAAAATATGATGTTATGCAATATATCATTGGCTATTACATAGAGACAAAAGACGACATAATAAATTTCTCATACTCAAAAGATTATGCAATATCTATACCCATGTATTTCACTTCAATGAAGCACATGCCAAGACCCCGAAGAAACCGTGGCGTCTTGGTGCAACTCCTGAATCTCCATGTAGACTTCATTTCTAAGGCTTTAGAGTAGCATTATCTGCATTGCTTGATGTGTATACTATTGTAGTGAAGTCATTTGGAGTTGGTGTTAGTGAGCTGACAACTGATTTCATTAGGCACTTTCACGTTGAGGGATCTCTAACAAATAATCTTCTACATAATATACTGTACAAATCACACAAATAGGTTTATATTTTTAGTCGATAGTATTATTGCACATTGTCCTAGATGATACTATATGGACTTATCATTTTTTAATTATTAGGAATTTAGGACAATGGAAACCTGTACATTGTGTACCATGTGCCCTTTGCCTCTATTACAGTTTTGGAATGATAATTATGAGCAGTTTATTCAAATTATATCTGCTGCTAATGTTGGACATTTATTGTATTATGATGATTCATGGGATTTAATTTCTCTTTGATTACTTGGTACAACAATTACAATGGTGGCTAACATGATGAATTATGAGCATATGATGATACATCATTGGATTATTATGATTAATGTGATAGGATATTGTGGTTGAGGTGTAAGACTATTGGTTTAAAGCCAGAGATACCTTTTCTGGTTAGAGGTGATTTAAACACCCATTTTCCCCTTTCCATATGTTTTTGATTCATAAAGTTGCAGAGGAGAAGAACTCCAAGCTCTTCCTGCATGGAACTAAACCAGGCATGACCCTGCATATTCCAGTATGGAAAATGATTTAGAGCCCTAAAAATACCCCCCCTAATCCCCCTAATTTCCAATTTGGGCAACTTTTTCCTTTTTTTTTTTTTTTTTTTTACTTGATATGGAAATTAGGGGGATTAGGGGGGGGTATTTTTAGGGGGATGTAGCAAGGCCCATTCCAGTATTACCTGCTAAAAGTGTTTTTAACGCCTAGTTTTAAATTTCATGCAACACAGATTGTAATAACAATTCAATTCAGTGGTTTGAATTTCTCCACCTGCATGTAGGTCTTATTTCACGCCTATTTATTGTGATTTTCTCTCCCACTTTATGTTGTATTTGATTATTATTATTATTATTATTATTGTAATTCATTGGGTTTTATTGTAATATTGTATATGTATCAAATAAAAAAAATAAAAAAAATTGCATTCATAGTTTCAAAGTATGCATTTTGTAGCATTTTTATTTGTAAAATATGCACACACACACAAAAATAAATAAATAAATAAAATAAAATTGAGTGTTCAAAATATGCACTTTTTTATATTTTCCATCTCTAATCTATTAAACTTGTTTGTTTGTTCTCTCATTATTGTTTGTTTTTGAACTAGATGTTATTGGGCTGATAAGTTGGGCCTAGTTAGATCTTAAGCAATACTTGGATTGGGTCTGGGCAATATTGAGCTTGCGCTAACCCACTCATTCCGAATCACTGTAGGCCCATTATGGGGATGTTATGGGTAGCTCAATGGTTTAAATCCTTATGGACCTCATAAAAAACCAACAAATAGCATGATAGTAACTTGTGATACCCCATCTAAAAATAAATAAATAAATAAAACAAAAAATAAAAATAAATAAAACTTGTGATATAAAAAATAGACCCTCTATTTTTTTAAAATAAATATAATTTAAACATGTAATTACTGATATTTAATTTTTTATCATTTTTTTTACATGAATGATCCGTTAAAGAGGCACTAACAGTTGAAAGTTTTGAATCATTGAGAGACCCAAAATATGTCTGTAACTCAAAAAATTTAACCCTCCAGTCCACTGCTTGGGCTGGAGAGAAGCCTCCTCCAATGATTAGCTATTGTTGTATTTCAATAGTGGATAGTGACAAAATACTACTATATTTTAAGAATGTTATTCCGATAATGCAAGTATTTTTTTAATATATTTTTATCAAACAATGCTAAATTGAGATGATATGTGTCGGTTCTACCATAAGATGTAGAGACATCAAGGGTTGTCAAAATTTACTCATAATTAATTCTTGTTTCAAAATTTCACACAAAATATGACAATATAAAATATAATAACCCATATAACTAGCCACCAAGGAAAAAATTGAACATCATGCCATTCCGTTTAAAATTCCTCTCTGGGATTGCTGCTATAGGACAACACAAAGGTCTTTCTCAAATGCCTAATCCAACTACTCCCAAGCATCCATCTCTGCCTTAATCTGCTTTTTTCTACTTTCCCTGCCCATCCCTAGGTAAAATCGGGTTCCAGGTAGAGTCATAGTCAAGATAGCTACGGCAAGAACCAGAGCTCGAGCAAGGCAAGTAAGAAGTTTGTTTCTAGCTCCAGCTAGAAGTTTTCCGGTGTATAGCCAGCTCCTTTATAGCTAGTAAGGAGCTTAGTTATTTAATAATCGGTATCAACTTTAGTTCTAAGGTTTAATAGTCAGGCCAAGTACCTAATCCAACAATCCGATCATTAAGGAGTCAGTAGTTGCTAAAGCAACGAAGCTAGTAGTCTGCTAAATCCACCCAACCCTTTTCCTTCCCCTCCCCCCTATAGGGAAACCGAGGTTTCTTAGCTGAGTCATTGAAGGTATCCTAAGTGCTATGAGCTCGGACAAGCCGATAAGTAGTTGGTAGCTAAAGCGACGCCCAAGTAGTAAGGAGTTGTTAGCTCTTGCTGAAGCAGTTGCAGTTCGAAGGGCTAGAGCCAGCTACTAGGGTTATAGCAAGTAACTAATCCAACAAGGTAGCTAGCCGCCAACACCCATTGATTTAAGTACCCCTCAGTCTCAAGCCCAAGTCCGCTACAGTATGTATTTAGTTTCTAAGGCAGTTCTTTCTAGTTCAACTCGTTGGTTTTAGCCCCACTCATTCTAGTTTTCCTTTTATGTCTCCTTGAACGAAGCGAAGAAAGTGGGTCTCTATCCTCCCTTCCTTCAAGCCCTCTACCCTCTTTGAGTCTAAGTCTTTACTTCCTTTAGCTCAAGTTATAAACTTTAGCGGAGTCATTTTTGTTTGTTTGTCCTTTCCCTCGGTGATATCCTTTAGTTTCTACCCTTTTGAAGGACTATATTCTATCGAAGTCACGTCTATTTCTATTCAAAAGGTCAATTTGCGTGTAGTAGAAGTTTGTCTATTGAGAATAATTAACACTCCATTTGGGTTCAGTGATTTGGGGAGAACATTTTCTTTTTCTTTTTCTTTTTTCCCTTCATTCTAATTACTTGTTTGAATTACTACAACTCACTTTTTGAATCACTTTAAAAAAATAGAGAGATTGCAGAGAAAAAATATGAAATGATTACTAATTTTATACAATATCAAAAGAGCTATTATATAGAACGAAAATTTGATCAAAAAAATTGTCATCAAAGCACAAATTTGATAGGGCCCACATTAGTTAAAAGGCATCATGACAAGTTTTTGTAATAAAAACATCAAGTGGTATTTTGGTAATATAACCTATAAAATTTATTTTATTTTATTTTATTTTGTGTAGTTTATCCAAATAAGATTAGAGAGAATCATTTTTTCTCCAATCTAACCAAACAAAAGGGAGATAAATCACAATATTTTCTTTTTTATCTTAACTTAACAAATTATTTCTTTTCTTTTCTTTCCTAAATAGTGGAAAAGCAAAAAGTCAAGTTGGTGATGGTAAAAACTACAACTAGTAAAAGATTACATTCCAAAGATTAGATAGAAAGGTCAAGTTTGCATTACGTACATATGTGATCTAGATAAGGCAAAAACATTACATTAAAGCTATTGTTCAATGTTTACCCATTCATCACCTATCATTGCAAACCGCACAAAACCGAT